CAACCCTATTCTGCCATGCAGGAAGACACAATCAAAGCCCACCAAACAGATGGACATTCTGTTTTTAAAAACCTCCAAAGAAGGTTTTTACTCCAAGGCAGCATCTTCCATTGTCGAACAGCTCTTATCCTCAGGAAGGTCTTCCTAATCTTGAGGTGGGATCTCTTTTCTTGTAGCTTGAACCCATTGCTCTATGATGTCCTAGTAGTCTCTGGAGCAGCAGAAAACAAGCTTGCTCCGTCCCCAATATGAGATCCCTTCAAACACTTAAACAAGGCTAGCATATCACCTCTTAACCTCCTCTTCTCCAGGCCAAACATGCCCAGCTCCCTATGTCTCTCCTCATAGGACTTGGTGGTCTCCAGACCTTTCACCATTTTGGTCGCCATCCATTGGAGATGCTCCAGCTTGGTCCACATCCTTTTCATATGACACCCTTTCAAACATTTAAACAGGGTTATCATGTCACTCCTTAACCTTCTCCAGGCTAAACATACCCAGCTCCCTAAGTCATTCCTCATAGGGCTTGGTGGTGTCCAGACCCTTCACCATTTTGGTCACCCTCCTCTGGACCCGCTCTTTCTCATGTCCACATCCTTCTCATATGACACCCTTTCAGAGATTTAAACATGGTTTTCCTATCACCGCTCAACCTTCCCTTCCCCAGGCTAAACATCCCCAGCTCCCTAAGTTGACCCTACCTTTGGATCTTCTTGGGACCAGCTGTGATGCTCTCAGTCCATGCTCTGCTTGCAAGGACTAAGGTCTCTCCATCTGGTCTCTCAGTTCTGCAATCCTTTGGCCAGGCTTCAGGCGGAGGATGCTGATGGTGGAAGGAGAAGAAGGGGAGTTCTTTCAGAGGAAGCCCCTCCCAGGATCCAAGCTGGAAAGGGATGAAACTTCAGCCTCATAAATCCTACCCAGAGCAATCTCCTTCTTGAAGAAGAGGGAAAGGCAACCCTTTGGATCCCGGTCCAATAGCATCCAAAACCCACAAAAAAGTGCTACCTTTATGGGACCAACCAAAATGCACAAACTATTATATGTTGCAAGCCTTTGAAGCTTCTTCATCAGGCAAAAGTGCTAAAAACCGTACAGGAGGCACACACAAAAAACATTATGACCATGTTAGTCCCAAGCCTGCATTTTGTCAAGATGTGGCTGTACTCAGTTCAGATGGTTTAGTTTAATTTTAGTTTGGTTTGGTTTGTTGTGTGCCTTCAAGTCATTTTCGATTTATGGAGACCCTACTAAGGAAGCTCAATGAAGGGGTTTTCTTGACAAGACGCAGCACTCTGTAGATTTTAAACAAGTGTTGTTATCTATGTGTAAGTGACTTTAGATCTGCATCACTTTCTCGAGAGTTCAGAAGACATATAGATTTCACATAGCTGCGCTTCATAGGCAGAAAGAGCCATGCCAAAGGGGCCAGGAGAACAGTGTACAGAAAAAGTTACTTTCTAGAATGCAATTCTAGACATTCCCAATGCTGACTGGGGGATGCTGGGAGTTGCAGTCCAAGAAATTAACATTTGCAAGCCCAACTAAATATATGGAGTAGCCTTGCACTGAGTCTGACCCCAGGTCCAACTAGTCTACTGTGGATCACCAAGAAGCTAGGAGAGCAGAGGTTGGGGGGGGGGGATAAGATACTTTTTAGACTACAGTTCACATCATCCCAGTGCTGGCATGGGGTTTATGGAAGTCGTAGTCCAAGAAAGTAACATTTGCAAGCCCAACAAGAAAGGTGGCAGAATATACGAACCACTCTGGTACTGATTCTGCTTCAACTAACCTAGTGTGCATCTACACTGTAGAAATAATGCAGTTTGGCCCCATATTAACTGCCATGGCTCCCTCCTACAGAATCCTGGGATCTGTAGTTTAGTGAGGCACCAGCACAGTACTCTTTGGCAAATCCCAGAATTCCATAGGATGGCATTACAGCACTTAAAGTAACATCAAAACTGCATTATTTCTACAGTGTAAATGCCCCCCTAGGCACCCAAATGTTTTTAGTCCTGTTTGGAGCCATGCAAACCAGCCTTTCAAATCCAATGTGCCAAAATAATTAAGACAGGCTCTCCATTCCTCCATCTGAAGCATCCTTAGACTTCTCCCGCCACCTTGTGGTCACCAGTAAAGGAAAAATATATATAACACCTATGCAAAAATATTTTTGGTTTTAACAAATTATTGTTAAATAATATGCCTCTGTTTAGCAGCAAAGCAAACAAGCCCATCCTAACCTTAGTATCCAATGCTATATCTGTCCACTTGAGGAGCTGACTGATATTCCTGATTTGTTAGGACTCTAAAGTTTGGATTATCAGCATGCACCTACTTTGCAGCAACGGTTTCGGTAATCTTAAATATTTTTTAAGATCTCAGGGTTTGGTCCTTGTTCTCCATTCCTCAGGAGAAGGAGGAGGAATCTCATATTGACAGCTATCCAACTTAAAAATTGGAGGGTATGGAGGGCAAAAGATTCAAAGGAGTCTTGAAAAGTTTTGTGTCTCTGTATGTTCCACATTTGCATGCCCTCCAACATTTCACTGGAGGAAAACTGGGCCATGTGTGGCAGCCAAGCAACACCAGTATTTGGTCAAGGTAGAAAAACCCATTCATTTTCCCCCAGCTCTTCAGAAATCAAGTTTTCAACCTGTCAATGGATAATTCTGAATATTCATTGCATCCCTATTCTGATGCATAGCATACATCTCATACCGTCCATGATTTCACAGGGGAAAATCGAGACATATCTGTGGCCAAGCAACATCAGATTGTAGTCAAAATAGCAAAAGTTATGAATGAGGAAGAGCATGCAAGCAGGGAGAGGCTACAGAAGCTTGCTTTTGCCTGACCCTCCTGGGAAGATCCAGCTGCTTCCACTCCTTTTCTGCCACCTGAAGCTGTGTACTTTGGCACTTTAGCAGTCAGTTTGCAGCAAGTGAAGTAAGCTGAGGACCAAAGTGGGAGGAGGAGAGAGAAACCGGGACATTTTCAAAGCAGATGGAAAAGTGGAGTAATTGGAACTGTCCCTGCCAAATCCTTGCTGGAAGGTAAGCATATGTTAGACTTGGAATGACATAATCTGTGCAAGCATGGTTGATAATTGCTAGGGCCTGCCTTTTGCAACGTCCAAACATGTCATTCTTCCGGTCTCAGGCTTTGGCTTCGAAGTCTCAGGGTCTGGGAAACTCCTGACCTGGCAACCCTGGAGAAGAAAACGTCAAAACAGAAGAAAGGATCAGATTTGCCACGGTACAATGCCCCCGAGCAAAGAGGTAAAGCCTGTGGAAAATTCCTCTCCAAGAAGCTCTCTGTTTTCTTTTGGAGGAAGGTCAAACTGGTGCATGGGGGATTCTGGGAGTTGCTGTCCAAAATAAGGAACTTTTCCCTGTCTCGGTGCCTGTCCTGATGGCATGGGCCACAATCGGAGCTCTTGAGACACAGCGGCCAGGGAAGTTTCAGCACTGACCCAGAAAGACTTCCAACGGCCTTTGTTTCGAAGACCGTGAAAAGTGGCCAGACTTAGACAGTCGGACAGTGTTTTCTTCCACCACGAACACCCCCCGCTGCGTCCTCCGGGCTTCATTATTGTCTCCAAAACCCTGCTTTCAAGAAGGGAACCATCCAATGGGACTGTATTTTTGAGCCCTGGTCACTTGCCCGACTGGCCACTTGCCAGGGACGGACAAAGGCCGAGTGAGAGAAGCAGCAGGCAGCCTGCTTGCAGGGACGTCGTGTCATGGCAGCTCGGGTTTTTCCTCCAAAAGGATAGCCGACTGGGGCTCTGAAACCCCTGCAAGCTAGGATTGCTGGGAATCCCAGGCATAAGCAATTGATATGCATTGGTGGTCTCCCACCCAAGTACTAACCAGGGCTAACCCTGCTTAGCTTCCAAGGCCAGACAGTATCTGGGGCCTTTAGGGTATTTTGGTCCAAGGGATTTGAATCTGTTGTTGTAGGTGTGTGCCTTCAAGTTGTTTTCACCTTATGGTGATCCTAAGGCTATCATGGGGTTTTCTTGGCAAGGTTTCTTCAGAGGAGGTTTTTCATGGCCTTCTCCTGAGGCTGAGAGAGTGTGACTTGCCTAAGGTCATCCAGTGGGTTTCCATGGCTGAGCAAGGATTCAAACCTTGGTCTCCAGAGTCATAGTCCAGTGCTGAAACCATTACACCACGCTCTCTCTCTCTCTCTCCCCCTTACACACTGCCATAAAATAATTTAAATCTGAAAGTGCTGCCAGGATAAAAGGTCTTTTACCTGTTGCAGGAAGATTGCAAGGAGGAGGCCAAGTGGATCTTCTGTGGAAGCCAAGAGTGCCCCTGAGCATATGCAGAGTGAATTCTCTCCATAATTCTATGGGGACAAAGCCTGAAGCTCCAGCACTGCTCTGTGTGTATAGGTTTTAAATAGGTTTAAGACCCTTCCTAGACAATCACGCACCTTCCCCACTTTGTCTTTCGGGATTAATGGAACCGAGGGTAACTTCCAGGAAATGCGACCCCCTTTTGTTTCAATTTACTAATGAAAAACAAGAATTAACGTCTGGCCTTCTGGTGGAAAGTGTTCTGGCAGAATGTCTGATCTGCAATTCCTCAATGGAGGAAGGAAAGGAAAGGAAGATTAATGTGTAATAATCTTAAAGACATTGGGAGCATGGCTTAGAATAACTTATGGCCCTAGGTTTTGAGATACGATATATGTTCGTGGCTGTTGGGGGCAGGAATCTCTCTTTTCTGCTGCAGTCAATATTACATAGTCTTAAATGTAGTTATCTTTCTTTAATTTGGGAAAAAAATTAAGGAAAAGGTTTGTTGCTACCTTCACGTCGTTTCCGACTAGTGCCAGCCCGATGGCGAACCTATTACAGGGTTTTCTTGACAAAATTTGTTCAGAAGGGGTTTGCCATTGCTTTCATCAGAGGTTGAGAGAGTGTGACTTGCACAAGGTTACCCAGGGGGTTCCATGGCCAAGCGGGGATTCGAACCCTGGTCTCCAGAGTCCAATGCTCAAACCACTAGACCACACTGCCTATAATCTGTCTCTAAAGTGCATTTATACACTTGCCAGCCTGGCATGGATGATGCCATGGGAAGGATTTT